GGTCTGAGTTGATTCCCAGACCATCAAGTCACGCTCTAAGCCACGACGCAAGTCCGCGCATCCTGCTACCGCCGACCTGCAAAGATTGGCGATGCACGCTCGGGGACGAGGGCGGGCTGAAGAGCCAACGTGCGCCAATTCTTCCCGCTGAACCATGTTTCGCCGTGCCTCATGATCTTCACATCAATGGCACGCGGAATGTGGAAAGACTCATCGAGCGCCGCAGGATGGCCGACCTTGGCGGGAGACATGGATGGCCACGCGGTCACCCGCAGAGGCGAGAGCGACTTGCGCCGATGACCATTGGTGCACGGTATTTACAGATAGCGTTATCCCACAAGGAGGTCACGGCTCTCGTCTGCCCCTGAGAACAGGCCAAAGGTTCTCGTCCTTGTGAGCTCGAGCCGGAGCTAGGCAGGCTTGCAGAACAGGGAGCAGACCAGCTGAATAGACACTACCTTCGCCAACATGAATGTGTTTCGTACGGGTGACAAATGACAAATGTGCAACCAGCAAGTGAAGTGATGCATTGTTCTTTTTTTTTTGTTTTCGAATTTGGGGGGGTCATGACAAAGCGTACTTGGAGGGGGTATCATCTGCGTAAACCTGCCCGACTGAAATGAAATGGATGTGCCGACAACGTCTTGCCTCTCCTGACGAGCCTCACACGCAAGCCGCTGCTAGAGCTCGCACTTGGCGTCCAAGTCGCCGTCGTTCTCGCCCATCATCTGCGCCCAGTACTGGCGGCACGCGCGCACAATGTGGAGCAGCGGCGCATCGGGGTAATCGAGCCGGCTCGTGTGGAGGTGAGCCAGCAAGGCGACCATGCTGACGAAGCTGGCGATGGAGAAGATGTTGATCGAGGTCGACGTCTCCTTGCGAATGTTGATCTTGCGCTGCGTGATGTGATAGCACAGCGTCAGGGCCTGCGGGTGGGAGGTGGGACACACGGTCAGCAAACACGAGGAAGAACGAGCTCGCAGGTGGTCGACTTGCGGGAGCGTGGAGGAGGAGAAGGAAAGAGGGAAAAGCAGGGAACTCACGGTGGCGATGCTGATCCAGCCGGGGAGAAGCAGGCGGGCGTCATCGAAGCCGCCGGCGATGAAGAGGATGCGTTCCGTCAGGAAGGCGTTGGCGCAGTTGATGGTCAGGAGGCGGATGATGGCGGCTTGCGGGGAGTAGTTGATGAGCCAGCGGGACATGAGGCAGTCGGCGAAGAAGAAGGAGAGGTAGGCGGAGGAGCCGCACTGGCAGAGACGTCAGCAGGAGTCATGCGTGAGTATCATGGGTCGGCCTCTTGTGCGAGGATCCAAGAGAGAAAGAGAGACATGGAGAGGGCAAAGTACCCAAATGACACCCAAAGACATCTCGGTCCAGGGATACGTTGACGTGGTGCTGGGGACCTTGGAGGTGCCAAGCACACCTCTCAGGCTCGCGGGGCCGGCCGGGCACATGGTCTCGGGAGGCCCGTCTGCGGTGAAGCCGGCGGCGGCGACATCGGCGCCGAGGGCCTCAAGCAGGGTCTTCCATGGCAGGGCGAGTAGAAGACGCAGGAGCAGCTGCAGCGCGGGCCTGAGACCCCAGAGGATGGCGGGACATATGGAGAGAAGACGGCTGAAGAAGAGCCAGGGCCTCCAGGCCTTGGGGATCTTGAGGACGACGGCGATGCGGGGCTCGAGAAAGGCAGCCGAAACGACGCCGGGCGAGGAGGGGCGGCGGCGGCGTGAGGCCGGACGCGAGGGTGCTGCGGCGGCCGTGTCGAGGGGACGCTGCTGTGGTGCTGGCGTCCTCTGGCTCTGGTTGTGGCTGTGACTGCGGCTGTGGGACTGGATCTGGGCGGATGTAGAAGTCGAGGTCGATATCGGGGCCGACGAGTACGGAGGGGGTTTCGAGTCGGAGCGGGATCGGGAGTGGGAGTGGTCCATCTAGGACGCGGACGTTGCGGTCAAGCGGTGTCCTGAGGGGCTCCGAGGGGTCTTTGGGCGTGGCGGTGATGGCGTGGCCATGGGGTTGGAAAGCAGCCGGGAATGCTTTGTGTGTATGTGTGTATGTGTGTGTGTGTGTGCCGGGAATGCGGTGATGGGATACGTGAACGGAGGACACAGTAGCTCAAGGTCGGTAGGTAGGCGAGGGAAAAAGCAGTTCTCAGGGTAGGTAGCGGCGGCTGGTTGTCGGCGGACGAAGCTGGCTGTTGGAGTCTTCTGGTGGCAGCTACCTGTGCCAACGCCTGTGCCTCTCTGTTTGACGACGAAATTGACTCGTGGGTGGGCAAGGGAATGCACAGAACCCTGGACCTTTTGTGATGTCGTGTGCTTGCGGTGAGGTCACAGCTCAAGCTGCCTCCTTCCTGAACGGTCCAGTCGGGCAGAGAGGAGTTGTAGCGACGAACAGGACAGGGATTGTGGCGGGGGGGGGGGTCCAATTATGCCGTGTCACTCTGTTGGTTCGTGCCTAGAGTGAAAGGCACGCTGTGACTACCGCTGGCATCCCCTGATTGCTACCCACCGTGACCATCATGTAGTGGACGTGGACCCCACTGGCTGTCTCGGTAGACCCTTGCAGGACAATGAAGGCAGTGCAGCTGCCAGCAGCCGGCTCCAGACGTCACATGAGTTCCAAAAATTTCCAGTGCTCGATCAACTGGAAGCTTTCCACCATGGATCATCAGGTCACCAGGTCGTGATCTCCTACGCCCGACCTCGTTGCGCCGCCCAATCCACCTGGGGAACAACATCCCTCAGCACGACTTCCAACCAGGGACTTTGGCATCTTCAGTCATCGACCCCCCGAGCGAGCGACCTGCGACAGTCACAAGAGTCGTTTCAACCCAACAAAACCACACAACATGTACCGACATGCGAGCAGGCCGCTGCTCGGCCTCGGCCGCCCCAGTCTGGCCGTCATGTCCAGACAACAGGTTCGCACCTACGCAAAGAAGGAGAGGCCAAACGCCAACAGAGCCGCCCTCCGGGCGAACCAGAGGGTCAGCGACACGGCCGCCGCCGCCCAGTCCGGCAACATGATGAAGCAGCAGAAGGAGGCCATCGAGCAGGCCACGACGCGCTACGCCGGCAGCCTCTTCCCCGGTACGTGCTCTGCTGTACATGATAAGGAGAGAAAGAGAGAGAGACATGATGGAGAGACAGAAGGACGCAAGAAAGCATCATGCTAACACGTCTCCCGGCCAGGCACCTTTATCCCCGTCCCCCTCTCGCGCGCCCCCCGCGCCCCGTCCGCCTTTCTCGGCTACCAGTACACCCGCATCAAGTCCTTCGCGAGCGACTTTCTGAGCACCTTTGTCCTGCGCTTTCAGTCCCGCCCGAGCTTCTTCAAGAAGCCCCGCGCCGACCTGTACCGTGCCCGCGCCCGCGCCGCCGGCACGGCGCTGCATGCCCGCCTTGGCCACGCCCTCGCCGCCGGCGATCGCGAGGCCCTGCGCGCCATCTGCACGCCCGCCCTCTACGAGACGCTCGGCGCCACCCTCGACAAGCGCAGCCGTCACGAGCGCACCACCTGGGACGTCGTCGCCACCCACCGCACCTGGCTCGCCGCCCACCGCGTCGGCGTCCTGCCGCCCCCCCTGCCCAAGGACACCATGATTCAGCAAGCCGTCGTCGCCGTCGACTCGACCCAGCGCCTCGACAGGGTTGACGTGCGCACCGGCCTCAGTATCCCCGGCGCCGCCCGCGTCCAGAGGCGCACCGAGTACCTCGCCATCACACGGAGGTGGAACGGCTCTACGTACGTGGCCGGCGACTGGAAGGTCATCGGGAACGCCAGCGAGACGACGCCCGAGTCTTGGGCCCAGGAGCAGGCCAGGATCGCTGCCATGGAGGCGGAAAATGCAGACAAGAAGCTCAGAGAGGCAGGCATTCAATAGATGGAGGCAGATCCAAGTGGCAAGAAAAGCGTAGACAGGAAGGGAGCATGTAACAAATGTATACTATGTGCAATTACTCGATGATCTAATTCAGATACATAGGAGTCGGTGGTTTGCTCCACGGCCGAATCCAGACTAGGGAGGCTTATCTCCCGCTCCTCTCATCAAATCAACATCCTTCCACAATCACGCATGGCTGAGCGTTCTTGACCAGCTGCAGCAAGTGCTCTGGACAGGCCGAATTGGAACCGACACGCGAACATGTCAGTTTTGAAGCTGCTTGCACTGCCTGAGATACACGTCAGACGACACTCAGAAGAACTTGCCGGCAGGCTTGGATCCGGCCTGCTCGTGCTCCGAGCTGACGTCGGCAACGTCGTCGCCAGAGCCGCTCTGGCGGTAGTGAGCCTGTTCCTCAGGGCTGGGGCCGAAGCCGGGGCCGTACGGCCGGTCAAGGGCGTCGAAGCGGCAGCCACTGCGCTTGGCCTGGATGTACTGGAACGACAGGCGGCACGCAAGGGCGGCAAAGCCCCACACGATGCTACCGACAGGAGCCGCCACAAAGACGCCAAAGACGCTCCAGTCATCAGCGTAGAGACCTTCAGAGATGAGGAGAAGGTTGCCGGCACGATGAACGTCTCCATCGTAGTAGATGACACCAAAGAGGAACGATGTGAGGATGCCACCAAGTCCGCCGACAATGACCTCGAAGCCACGCCACCAGTAGCACTTGTTTGAGAGGCCAATGCAGAGCACGGGCACGATGCAGGCGGAGACGAGATCCGAGATGAGGTAGATCTGAAGGACGGACGGGGCCTCGAGGGCAATGACGATGGCAGGAATGATGATCAGCAGAATGCCGGCACGAATCCACCAAATGTTCAGGCGGTTGCGGAAGAGATCGTTGGACGCTGACGAGACCATGGCTGACTGGAGGGTGTCAAAGGCGGAGCAGGACATTGTGACGACCATGACGAGCACAACCCCAATGACCCAGGACGGAGACGATCCAGGAGAATGAAGAAGGCAACCGAGCCGGAAGTAGCCACTTCATCAAGCGGCAGGGCACCAGACCAGACAGCAATGCAACCAGTCATGCCGACGAGGACCAGGACGCACAGAATAACCGTGGTCGCGAGGGACACGCCGATCCAAAGGTCCTTGTCAGTCTTGGAAGCGAAAGCGCGCAGCCAGTAGTTGGACAGGAAGAAGTTGTTCGTGAGGATGCAGACGGGCAGGATGTACAGAAGCTGCCAGCCAAGGAGGGTGGGCTTGAGAAATTCTGACTCCCGGATCAAGGAGGTGTCAATGTCGGTCAGCGCACCAATGGTGGCGGCAGCAATGACAATAAGGCAGATGACCATGCCTCCCTGGATGTTGTCTGTGACAAAGGATATCTTGAATCCTCCCAAAGCTGTGTCACGTCGGTTAGCAATGCCCCTCCAGCAAACGAGTGCGCTGTAAACATACACGTGTAGATGGTGGTGACGGCAACCTGGACAAGCATGACGGGCAGCTGGTTGACGCCCGTCAAGGTCGTCACGACCTGGCCAATGGCAGAGAGTTCTGCCGTCAGGTACAGAAAGAGGGTGAAGAGCGTCGCAGCGCTGAGGTACAGCATGGCTGCGGTGCCATAGCGCTGGCGCGTCCATTCCGTGAGCACGAAACCTTCGGGGGTCTTCCGGCGGATGATGCTGCCGAGAGCCGCAAAGATGAGCAGCGGCAAGGAGGAGGACAAGGCGTAGACGATGACACCTTGCACACCGGTGATGGTGGCCAGCTCCGGGTAAGCGAAGAGCACACTCGATCCCAACCCTGCGCTGTTAGCACGACAATATTTGGGGGGGAGGGGAAAAGGGGGAGAGGTCAGTTGGAGCGGCAGCACGTTCCCCACGCAAGCATTAACTTGATCGAGTATTACGGTACAATCTCAGCTTCCTTTCCGCGCACGGGACATTTCTCCTCTTTCAGAACCGAGGGAGAGAAGTTGAATGCCCGTTGCACTTCAAGTCGGCGCCCGTAGTGAGCCGCATCCTCTTCCGCCTCCGGGGGCGCATCCCTCTCCAAGGAGGGTCCCATCGTCCGACATGATGGGAGAACATTGAGTCAGTGTATACAAGAGATTGCTCTCCCGCATAGTCGGAGAAAGGGTCCTCTTGGCAAGGGGAAACGCTCCCGGGGCCTCAGGAGGACCATAGTCATCTTGGGTACGAACCTAACTGCCGGTGGCGCGGGTGGCTCTTGCTCGATTTGCCACTTAATCATCACTGGAGGTGTGAAGAAGACTCTCCGTGACGGTGGTGATCATGATGCTTATCGAAGTGGTTTTGCGGCTGGGGAGCTCAAAAAAAAGATCGATGGATACAAGTTTTGCTGCCGCTCTTGCTCTCTGGAGAGGTAAACTACGCTAGGCGTAGACGCCTGCACTCACCACTGGCGATGAAATTAAGAGCGACGGGGATAGCTAAGAGCGTGTTAGCTCTGGTCACACACGGAGATCGAAGAGCAATATGTGGAAAGTGATTCCAGAAGAGGGAGCGAGTGGGCGACTCGACAACCTCTGCTGAATCGTGAGGTGAGGTCTAACCCGTCCGTGTTCGGTTTCCAGACAGGAACCCGCCCTTGAGGTCATGTCTGTACCGGTAGGCCATGCCCAGTCCCATCAAGCTGCAAACATGGTCAGCACGCGCAACTCGGGTAGAACAGGTGGGGGTTTGAGGTACAGGAAAAGGCTGTAGGTGACGAAGATAACGGCATTAGATGCCTGTGTCGACGGCTGCACCATGTTGGATGGTGACGGCAAGGGTCGGAACGATGTAAAGAGAGAGAGAGAGAGAGAGAGAGAGAATATGTGTGTAAGATATGGGAGACGCAGATCAACAAATGTTCGAACCAAGATGATCGGAGCAGAGTGGTCTCTTGCTGTCTAACACGGTTAAACGATGGAGCGGTGTTGGGAGGTTCAAAGGGTCCAGGTGAGGAAGGGTATGGTATGAAATTTTTGCTCGCGATCCATGATATGACACTAGAAGTAGCGACTACCGGCCGGGTTCAAGGTAGGGAATACCCGCACACACGCGCAGTCTTGTGCCGAAGCAGTAGCAAGTGGGCGGGCGCCTGACTGACGAAGAACCGACCGGTCGCCCCTCCTGCTGGCCGCTCGCCTCGCGTGGCGTAGCGTGGTGTGCCCGCAACGAGAGGATTTTTAGTGTGGGGGGTCAACCGCGTGGGAAAGGTTGTCGTGGCTGCTACTTCATTTCAGGCGTCCCCACCAGCGGCAATCAAGTATCTCCCAGGAGATGGAGGTGCCCACAGCTTCTGGGTCTTTAAGCTTGGCTGGACCCGATCAACAAGGTTGGCTCCGGCGTAGTGCCACATCCTGGGCGGACTTCTGCCAATTGGACGACATCAGGCAGCCTCCTCAATGCAAACTTCGCCAAACGCGGCAGCCGTTCACTGCCTTTTTCGCTTTCGTCGCGCTCGTGAATGCACCACAGACCTCATTGGATGTTGGAATGGACAAATGCATTCGATATGTACAGTGTTGAGCAGGAAGCTGAGAGAGTCATGCTAAGATCAGCCGCCCGTCTGGTCATGTCTTCGTTCCCTTACGTGCTGTGTCCCCGCGTCTAGCGTCGTGATAACCTCTCCTCTCGTTCTCACTCCTTTATCAGCCCATGACAAAGACAGTCTCTGACATGGACGTCTGTGACAAGCATGTGTGTCATACATGTCATACAGCTGGCCCTCACTCCACATACCATCATCCAATACAGTTCGTTGCTCAGAATACCCCCCCCCCGGACATGGCCGCTCAGTCTTGCGTCGCTGCTATGGTCCAACACTTTCATCCCGCCCCGTCCTCTTGACGCATCAAGGCCCAATCCGTTTCAAATGGGAAGACTGCCGTCTTGGGGCAGCACCGTTTCTCACAAAACAAAAGCTTTGCGTCGGGGTATCAATTTCAGTTTTCTTCGTCGTCCTCCTCGATGGGCGCAGGTGTCCGTCGCTCGGTGCGCCTCTTGGGCCGTCGGTGTCGCGAGCTGCTGATGTTGCTGGCCGAATCGTCCGGCATCAGCTCGAAATCCTCACCACCCCACTCGCTGTCGCTGACAGCATCGAGCTCGCTGCCTGTCGCCCACGCCGGCCGTTCGTATCCCGAGTTTTGCGAGTTACCCGAGTTGGGCTGGTTGGGCAACACGTCGATCCGTCTACGATGCTGCAGGTTGAGCATGAGACCGGCGCCTCGGTTGCGCAGCGCCGTGCGAACAATCTCAGCCCGCTCGTGCAGTGCCTCAAAGGCGTCTTCCAGAACTTCCATGCCCTGGTAAATCTCCCGCTCTGCCTCTGCCAGTGCTGCCAGCTCCATCTCCTCGTCTCGGGACACCGCCTGCCGTGTCTGTGCCGATGTTGAGGTGCTGACAAACGAGGCAGGCGTCGCGCCGCGCGAATATACGCCGGAGAAGGGCGTCGTGTTTCGAGACCCTGGGAGTCCCGGCGTCGCTCGCAGGTTGGGTGTCGGTCCCCGGGAAGGGAAATACCCACTGGCGGGTGTAGCGCCACGCGACTCGCCCGTGGGAGTAGGGACATCGTCCGAATCCGCTCCCGACCAGAGGAATCCATCAAACCTGCCAGAGGTGAGAATCTCCCATTCGGATGTGTTGATGTCGGACAAGGACACGAGGAGGTCGTGGGTCTCTGGGTTCTTGATCAGGTATGAAGCCGTCTCGGCATCACGTGGCGCCTGCTGCAGTCTGTACAGCCTCTGGAGGGACAGGCCGGCCTTGATGATAAAGTCGGAGCGTGGCCTTCGCATCGGAGTAGGAGACCGAAGAGAGGGCTGAACTTCCCGAGAGCCCGACAGGATGGCGTTGAAATAAGGCCGGTCCTCGGGGTCCATGTTTGTCAGGATCGCAAATGTGAGGGTTTCGTCATCGACCTCTTGCGGCGGCGGCGCGTGGTTGTCGCCGCACTTGTTGAGCCACTTGTCGACAGCCCCGCGAACCTTCTTCGACTGTCGGAGGTAGTGCTCGCGGAACTCCTCTGCAATGTCCGGATCCATTTTGATGGGTGAATCAGGCCGAGGAGGCAGGTCCGCAGACATCTCGGCGGCCTTCACGCCTAGATCGGCCAAATCGAACGGTGGCCACTGGGGAAGGTCAATGCGGCCGCTGACCCATTCGAGCACCTCACCCCAACCCAGGCCTGTGTGCAAGTCCGTTCCCGTATCGCACACCACGCAGCTGCAACCGTGGGGTGGCAGTTCACGGGAGAAAACATTCTCCAGGCGATCGAGGAGGCGGCGCGCCACGGACCGGTGGCCCGTCGCAACGGCTATGGAGCCGCTCTTCTCGAGGACAGTGTTGTATTGGTTCAACAGATTGAAAAACGGCGCAAAGAGCGTCTGGGCACCTGTGAGAGGAGGGTTCGAAGGGCGTGTACCGTTCTGTCGGGGCAGAACGGCGAGAAAGTTCTTCGGCAAGGCGTAGGGAAGACCGCCGTTCCGAAGCAGGTAGTCAACTCTGGGTGCTTCCTGCACACTGGCGGCAGGCGGAGGCGGCGGAGGCGGAGGACCGCCAAAGTCCGTTGCTGGCGTGTCGGGGGGTCTGATTTCGCCGTCCTGAAACGGCGTGAAAGGTTTGTCTTCAGCGCTGAACATGGATGGGGGGAACTGAGGTGTCTGGGTCGGCGTCTTTGGGGATGAGTCCTGGGCACTCTCCGGCGAGGACTCGGCGTCGACAAGGTCTGATCGCCTTCCATTTTTGCTCGACACACTCCTCTTGGACGATGACCGGGAAGGGCCTCGGTCCGCGGCCAACCCTTCCTGGACGCCAGGAGGGATGTAGGCGGCTGTCTTGTAGTATGTCGCCTGACTGGAAGACTTGGACTTGGTGCTCAGACGAGACTTTTCCTCGTTCCTCGAAGCTGACCTCGAGATTCCGCTCAGCCTCGAGCTAGGGCGCTCTTTCCTCGCCTCCTTGGCGGCGGTGTCGGGCGTGCCTGATCTCCGCTTGCCGGAGACGTCCGTCTCTGGTGGGCTCGGGGGACGGGCCTCCTTTCGTTTTGGATCTGGAGGTGGTGGAATAGTCGGCCGACTTGGAGCGCTCCTTCTCTTCGCCTCCCAGATCGGTGGGCTCGGGCGTCAAGGGCCCTGACCGCCTGCCGGCTGCTGAGCCCGAGAGATCTTCTCGACTGACAGCCTCTTGCTGTGCGCCTTGCTGAACGACGGGGTAAGGCACCGAAATACGATCTCATCGAGCAAGCGACGTTTTGGGACCTGCCGAACTCGAACACGAGCTCCGACGTGGATCCAGCACGTTCTTTTTCCTTGTCCCTGTCCTTGTCCTTCTCTTCTCGCGTGCGATGACGTCGGTGTGAGTGAGAGTGCGAGTGGGAGATTTCACTGCCACCCTCCTTCTTGTGTCGGGAGGATCGTGTGCCGGATTTGCGGTGCTCCTTGTCACCTTCAGAGGTCGGCCGCTTGCTCTTGCTCTTCTTCTTTTCCCGCGGGCGCTCATCGAGATCGACCTCGGGATCATCTTTGGTAGACATGGTGGGGCATTGGTCGGTGCCCTAGCCGGTGACGAGGGAAGAGCCTCGTGAGGAGTGGTCGAGAGTTGTGTTGGGGCGGAGAGGGGGAAAAGGGGCGGAGGGAGGCAAGAGAGGCTCGGTGGGTGCCAGAGTATGGGTATGTACGAAGCGAAGCGGAGTTGACGAGTGTCTCGAGCGAGCCGTGGGCAGACAGAAAGCCGAGCGGCGGAAAGATCGTGGCGGTCAGCAGCGGGGGAGGAGCAGACAGGGCTGTCGACCTCGAGTCGAGCGCGAGAGGGTCCGCGATGGAGTCGATCTGGAGCTTCAAGACTTAGCGCAGGTCTAGGTCATGATGGGGAGACCTTGAGATCGCAGGTAGCGCAGGTGGAGAGGTTGGCCCGTTCCTTAAGACGTTCCCGACCCTAGGCAGGCGGCTGTGAGCAGTCGACGGGCGAGTTTCGCGACTATGATTCGACGGAAGATCCTGGTTCTGGGCTGTTGGCGAGACCACCAGTTGAGGCACCCAGGTACCTAGCTTCAAGCCTGACGTGGCACCAGCGGTGAAGTCACGCTGCACAGACCAGGTGTGAGCGGGAGGGGCGGGGAGCCTGCCTTGGGGGGAAGGGAGGGGGGGGGGGTTAACAGTGCAGTCTCTACTTCATCTCGAGGCATCTGAACTGAAGGCGCTGATTTTTGACTTGGGCACGAGATAAATATGATCACCCGTCGAGAAGCTCCAGACTCTCTATTTACCAGTGATGTGTATGCAGTCATGCGCTTTCGTTTTCACCAAGACGCTGCTCATACCCCCAAAGCTCCTTTCTCATGCTCCTAACCACCACCGAATACTCCTCCGCCCCTCCATCTTGGCACGTCATACCGTGCGTAGGTCCCGCTGCCCAAGAAGAATAAGGTAGAATACGATGAATACTCCTTCTTCCCCCGACAAATGGCCCCCGATATGCAGACAGAAGACCACACACACACACGCACACACATACACACCCCAGTGACACCATGCACAGGTCCGAACCAAAAGCGGTCCAGCATCGGGCAGCAAAGAATAGAAAGCCGCCCAATCATGCACCTCGCTCACCCCGTTCACCACACTTAAGCGCCTGGCTAACCTGTCTCGACTCCCAACCGTCGCACCACTCTGACCATACAACCCACACACATACACGCACCCACTCGAGCAGTTCGATGAGGCACCATGGTCGTTCATCGTATCTACAATCGCCCCTTCAAACATCATCGCCATTATTCGTCCGAACTAAAGCAACTGCTCTTTTTTTTCTCTAAAGACCTGGCTTCTAATCTCTGCCTGTACCGTCTCCAGAAATCATCATCATGCATGCATGCTAAAAAAAACCCTTTACCTGCCCCTCCCATCCCTTCCTAGATGGAAGGGGGACCCTAAGGGCACCCAGTGTTTGTTCAACGCAATTAAACAAAGGAAAAAGACCCCATATGATATAACGTTGCCTTCATGATTTTATATCCGACTGCACTCCCATGTCTGTTCTCTCTGCGTCTAGTCCTCTTTGGTAGACGCAGAGACACTTTGAACTCCCTTAGATCCTGTCGAGAAGACCCTGGCTCTCGAGCAGCAGAATGATCTGGTGCACGGCTGAGCGGACGGTCTGCTTCTCGATATCGACGGTGAGATCCGCCTTGGCGGGCACCTCGTAAGGGTCGTCGACACCGGTGAAACCCTTGATCGCGCCGGCGCGCGCCTTCTGGTAAACACCCCTGCGGTCGGTCTTCTCAGAGTACTCGAGCGACGTCGCCACGTGGACGAGGAAGAAAGGACCCGCCTTCTCGATGAGCTCGCGGGCCTGGGAGCGAGCATCCTCGTAAGGCGCGATGGGCGCCGCAATGACAGCGGCACCGGCGCGAGTTAGCTCGGAGGCGACAAAGGCGATGCGTGCAACGTTCTTGGAGCGGTCCTCGCGGCTGAAGCCCAGCTCGGCAGAGAGCTCGTGGCGGACGGTCTCGCCAAGGAGCAGAGAGACGGAGCGGCCGCCGCCCTGGTTTGAGAATGAGCTGCAGGGCACGGGCGATCTGGTCCTTGCCGCTGTTCTGGAAACCCGTCAGAAGATGGTGAAGCCCTTGGCCGCAGGCAGAGGGTTCTGCTCGCGGAGAACCTTGACGACCTCGGGGTACGAAAACCATGCGGGAATCTCCTTGCCGGTCTTGAGGCGGTTGCGGAGCTCGGTGCCAGAAATGTTGGCAGTGTGGGTACCGGGGGCAATCTCGTTGGCGGGCTGGTACTCGTCGCGGTCGGGGATGTAGATCATCTCCTGGAACTCGACCATCTTGATGCCGAGCTCCTCCTGATACTTCTGCACGGCAATCTGCGCATCGTAGGCGCCGTACCAGTCCTTGCCGTCCTTGTTCTTGCCGGGGCCAGCGTGGTCGCGACCAACAATGAAGTGGGTGGCACCGTGGTTCTTGCGGATGATGGCGTGCCAGATGGCCTCGCGGGGACCACCCATGCGCATGGCAAGAGGCAGCAGGGCGAGAGCGGCCATGCCGTTGGGGTAGCGGGGAAGGAGAGCCTTGTAGACACGGACACGAGTGAAGTGGTCAATGTCACCAGGCTTGGTGAGGCCGACGACAGGGTGGATGAGGACGTTGGCTTGTTGGGAGCGCGAAGCGCGAACGGTCAGCTCGCGGTGAGCGCGGTGCATGGGGTTACGGGTCTGGAAGGCGACGACCTTGTTCCAGCCGAGCTTCTCAAAATGTTGCCTCAGCTCGGCGGGCGTATACCTCAGGTCGACAAAGTCGTAGTGAGCGAGCCTCTGCACGGCCTCCAGCTTGCCACCGACGTAGAACTCCTTGGCGACCTGGAGGAGGTGCTTGATGCCGGGGTGGGTAACGTCGTCGGGGCTTCCGAAGACCTCCTGGGCCTCGAGGTTCCTGCACGACGTGCGTTAGCACTCTGACCTACTACCAAGATCACTAGTAAAGAAGGAAAGGGAACGTACTTGTTCGGCTTGTAAACCTCCTCGACAGTGAGAATGGCAAGCGCACGGTCGTCACGAAGATCACGGAGGGTGATGCGCGTGCCGGGCTTGATGCCAACCTCGTCAATGGTCTGCTGAGAGACATCGAGGTTGATAGGCATGCTGAAGAGGCTGCCATCGGCGAGGCGGTTCTCCTTTACAACGCTGGGGCACTGTTAGCAAGCTGTATTGGTACCGCGCATCTTTGAGTGTGACGAACCCGTTGTAGTCCTTCTCGTTCAGGAAACCTAGTAATGGGGGTTAGCATCGTCGTCTTGCAGTCTTCCACTCGATCGTTGCGCATTCAAATCCGAGCCTGCTACTAGCGACAACGACCTCGCGTGACTGTGTGCCTCGGGGACAAATTCTTACCCTCGAGAGGAGAGAAACCACCGTTGAGAATCAGTTCAAGATCGCAAAGGTGGCGCTCAGTCAGGGTGAGGCTGGGGAGCTTGTCCGACTCCTCGAGGAGCTCGGCCTGGCGAGGCGCATCGCGCACAAAGAGGTCCTTCAGGACACCACCGTGGGGTGTGTTGGCCATGGTGGTCTGCGAGGAGGAGGTTGAGGCCTGAGTATGGGGCTTCGCGGGGTCTTTCGAACAGATCGACAGGTTAGTCGCGTGCTCGAGTCTTTGGAAGCTTCTTGTCGAGACACAGATCGGAGAAGAGAGGTCAAGATGGAATGGTGAGGGAGGACACGGGAAACACTGCACACACGACAGCCGGCGAGCTGGCCATTTTATCCAAAGCGCGACTTTGTCAACGAAAACGAGCTTCTCCGTTGCCGGCGCGAATCAGCGGGCCTTCTCGGTTCACCCTACTGCCTGTCTCGTCGCAAAATGTCGATGAAGGTGGACACAACCTGTCTAGCTCCGAATGACGTGATCGGTACATCGGCTTCGTACCCTGCCCTGGGCGAATCAGCTGTGGCGCGTGTCATGTTCCTGGCCTAGGCATTGCAGGAGCCTCGCGGCGGCGTTGAAGACTCTTTCTGAATAATGGGGTTCACGACGTCACAATTCGGGACCGTGTGGACGTTGCCGGCGGATATATGGCTGGATTCACCCCGCCCGGTTTGTCGCGAGCCGTGATATTGTGTCTTTCCATCCTCCGCGTCCTTGCGTCCGTCAGAAAAGGTCACCCCGCCAAAGTGTGGCTCGAATTCAGTGCCCCTCCAAAGTGTGGCTAGATTCCCCCTCCGTCGTGTGGCTCAGTGGAGCGTGGGGTGATCCCGCGCCTTCTTGGACCCTGCGAATTCGCCATCGATTTCTTGAATGGCGTGCTTAGTACCCTGGTGCGCAACCGTCCGCGGGGATGTCCATACAAGCATCCCTTTGAACCGCCACGAGCCGACATCGCGGTATAAGACTCAATTTCAGAGCCGAAAATGACAGTCAATCCAGACTGCATGCGCCCAACCCCGCGCCGCGCGACTTGTGCCATCTTGGGGCTGGATGATGATGTTTCTTGGCAACCCTCGTAACACGCGGGATTGGTTATCTCATCATGGTGTCCTAATGTTTCTTCTTGGCGTGGCAGAACAGAGGCGTGAGGCTCGGAGATGATGTTTGCGGATGAGATCAAATGTGTGGTCGGTTGAACGATGCGGGCATGCGTTACAGCGCAGCATGGTTGACCTTTGTCTACCATGTGAGCTCTCTGCAGGCCCGGACTCCTGGTGCGTATCGGCGTAGCCGGCGGAAAGTGCGGAGCGCAGCTGGTGATCCATACAAAGTCTGGTTTCGTCATTTGGGGGTCGATCATCAAAGCGCTCGCGACAGGAAATACCAAGTAACGATACTGATGCGTGTTCGAGTTCGAGAAGAATGGAAGCCATCGAGTAGCCTGCAACAGCGTTGGGCTCAAGGACAAGGCCTAGAACCTTCTATGCATTCTCCCGCAACCGATCTCGAGGCAGAGGCGTTTCGGCCTGGCTCACTTGAAAGAGCCCCTAGTCTTTCGTCGACTTTAAAAACCAGCCATGGAAGCCAGGAAATGCCTCAGCTCGCGCTACAAAGATGCTTCAGCTGCGATTGTGCAGAATGCAGAAGTTGCCGCCCAAGGGGGCGGCTGCAGAGGCAATCCCATCGCAAGCGAGCGCACCCTCCTAAATTTGGGACTCGCTGTGTGTTGCCCGAGTCCAGAGCCTGTGTGTGCGACGTAATAGTCTCGGTTGCTCAGAACAGACATGCCGCCATTAAATGATTGAGTGCTATGGCGATAGGTGCCTTCGATACCCAGGAAACCAAGCATATATTGACTATAGCGGAAAGTACGGATTTGACTCCTGGAAGTACAGTGGCTGGGGTGAGCAAGCTGGGGCGTTGGTTATAGTTTCGAACTTGTCAAGATAACCGTCACACTAGACTCTCGTGTTAAGAACCCGCGAGCCAATGACTCAAGCGGTGAAAGCCCGACGGGTGGGCTTTAGAGGGCGGGAGATGGGGCGGGGTGGAAGATCTGCGAGAAGGCGTCCAGTCCTCGTGGCGTCGATGTGCTGTTCCCTGTCAGAGTCCACGCTGTCAAGCTGTCTTACAGCCCTCCAAGTAAGGGTGACCTGTGTCTGATGGGATGATTTGCTGTGGTGTCCTCAGTATGACTGATGGTTACTTGGCAGCCATTGCCGTCCTCAGACAGATGGCATGTACTTGTACAAGACCATTCAACAAGCCGAACCATCCGATTCGAGGCACAATCGTAGGCCGAGCCAGTAGTCTATGAGTCGGTGGTCGTCGCGGACAATAGGAGGTTGGGCGACTGGCTGCTTGGCAGTACTGGCACCCGCGAGTCTATGGCTTTTTGTGGGATTCAAAAATCTGTTCATGTGTTAGGCACGGTGCGTCGCAGCAGCCGTCGCAGATGGAAGTCAATGAACGAGTATGGTCCAAGCGGACTGCGGGTTTCGTGATCGGGATGGTCGGCTTTCCTGGGGCGGCGCCATAGCCTGACGATCATGTCGCATGTTTGACTGTATGAGCAATGCCCAGGACACAGACTGTCAAGAAGCCTTTGCTGTAGGAACCGGTGAAGCAAGGTCAAGGTATGATTGATGCACGGTTAAACAGTTGCAGTGGCCAGCAAGGCAGCCAAGATGGACAATCAAGAATCCATGATCAAGATCCCAGTTTCCAACCCTCTTCTCCTGTCACTCATGAACCAATGGGTGAGTGCGCCGACTCCGTTTGGGTGCAATGGTGATCAGAAGGCGCCTGCAGGCTTCTTGCGCTGTCAGGGCAGGGACAGGGGGGCTGGTCGCCTGGTCGCCTGGGTACCTGCCTGGCTGCGAAAACATGCTGCTTTTAGGCACCCATGGTGAGAGTTCGTAATTTGGAGGGTTGTTGCCGGTTTGGATGCCATCAAAGCCTTGAGTACCCAATTGATACCTAGGTCCCTCCCAAAGGTGCCTAACACGAGCTACATGGACATCGTTCGAGGTTATCGGAAGTTTCTCCCACCCTGGAGTCGAGTAAACTTGTTTGTCTGAAGGGGTGCATTTAGCTCAAAGGAGACCCAACAACAGAAAATATGTAGTCAGGTCGGTGCTTCAGGCTCCTTGCATCATCAACGCTGCCCTCAGATCCTACCATACCAGCAGTCCATTCGAGTCTGTGCACTCTTTGTTTCGAAGAACGGAGAAACAACCGCTTCGCCCCTAAGGCGTGGCGTCGATTGCAAAGTTTTCCCACAACAGTCTCAAGCTGGACAGACAGGAGGATGACCGCGGTGGCAGGTGCAAGGATGTTGAATTTTGGAAACGACAAAGGTCAGAACGACAGAGTTTAAATGGCCCCTTGCCTGCCAACGTAGGTATTCAGGAATTTCGCTTGACTGAGGCAGGGTGGGCAACTGAGCCTGGATGATTGCGATTCTGCAAGAGCGGCAAGGGAGCTAACCCTCGACAAGACAGCAGTATGTACAGGTACCCAGCACGCCTGGCGAGTATGCTCAGGCCTTGCATCTCATTCGACCGTCAAACCAGAGCCCCTGCTAGCACCCTGGTCAACCTCGCTCGTTCGGGTGCGGCCATCGAGCCAAGTGTGGCCCAGAGGTCGGATGGATAATAAGATCATATCGCACCCTGGCCGTCTCAAAGAACCCTATCTATTGCTTCTCCTTCTATCGTTGCTGTTCCAGCGTACCCGATACTCCCTTCTTGAAAACGCACTCCTGCACAATCAACTGCAGTCATTCCGACTTCATCGAACCTGCAACCTGCCGCGAAGGCCTCCGCCATCTCGCACGAATCATCGAGGCCTCAGAGCGTTTCAGTTGCTTCGACCTTCGACCTTATAGTCCACGGCGTCTCGCCCGACAAGACGACAACGCGCCTCCCATGATTGCCAGCCCTCACATTACGACTCCGCGACACCACACATCTCCACCGACACGTTCGACAATCCTCAAACGTACCCAATTCTCCTGATATCTTTACATTGCAACACCGAATAAACTCCCGGGGCCTTTTGCCCGACGAGTGCGCGACACGTCCGACTTTGTCAGCCTACATTGGCTTTTCACGACATGGCGCGGACATGGAGGGAAAGCTGGGTTGTCGTCTTCTGGGTTGCCGTTGTTGGCTGGATCGTGCCATCCCTGGCTCAAGATCGAGAGATAGTATACCAAGAATTCAACGACACGAATGGAGTGACGCGACAACTTGCTGTCGACAGGTACCCAGCACTTTTTTCAGGCGATTTTGCCGACTGCCTCGGAGGCCAGAGCTTGTTCAATATCACCAAGTTCGATACCGGCTATTTCAAAGACAATCTGACCGTAGTCTTCCACCTGGACGGCAACACCAATGTCAGACAAGAGAACTTGATCAGTACGTTGTCTCTCCCATGGCCGCCTAGGCCTCTGCGTCGAGACACGATGAGACACCATCCTCGACTTTCATCTATGCATTAACTAACATTTCTTCTTTTCTCAAGTGCACATCACTGTGGAGGCTTGTAAGACAACCCCGGATTACTCGGCCACAAAAATGTACTAATACTTTTCAAGATGGCAAGTCACGATTTGACACGACTTTTGACCCTTGCGGCTCCCCCAGAATCGACAGGTAGGAAGTAGATCATCCGGAGCATTCTTGGTGGCAATCACTGATCGCAGTGAACAGTTTGTGCCCCTTAAACGCCGACAAGGCTGTCGAGGCCTGGGCTGCTTTCCCAATCTCACCTAATGATGTTGAAGGCATGCCGTCCATCTCTCTGGATATTCCCGATTTCGAGGGTTCAGCAACGCTTCGCCTCTTCGCCAACTCCAGCGAGACAGAGATTGGCTGTTTCCGGGCTGTCATGCACAACGGCAGGTCATTCTCACACCCAGATGCGATATCGTCTGCCTTGGGTGGTTTGACCGCCATAGCCATCCTATCCTCATTCGCCACTGCTATATATGGCGTCAGCATTCCTCACATCCGGACGCACTACGCTCACTCATTCTCGGTTCTCATCATTTTCGAGGCTTTCCAAACGATATACTTCTCTGGCGCGCTATCTGTCAGCTGGCCCAGCGTTTTACCAGCCTTCTGGAGCAATTTTGCGTGGTCTACTGGCCTCATCTATAGCGAGTCGATAGTCGATTCACTTGCCGGCTTTTCTGGCATCAGCGGCAACGCCAGCCAGGTTGGCGGTGCTGGCTCTGCCGTCATCAATACCGAAGGTGGCCTCGTTCAACAGATCTACGGACGCTCGGTCGGATTGCTCAGGCCCAAGAACCTCATGTCGCGCGCGGTGACGCCGTATAATGCGAGCGACCCTTACGACTACAAATGGGGAGGCAATCCCGTCACGCCGGGAATGCCACTGCCAGGTACTTGGCAAGGGTTCCCTGGCACCTTATCAATGGTCGAGATTCCAGCCGCTGGTGCCTTCCTTGTCGCACTCATCTGGTGGGTTGTAGCCATTGGTCTGGTTGCTGCGTCTGTCACCGCATGCAAATTGTTGCTCGACTTCCTGGCTGCTACGAACATCATCAAGGCTGATCGGTTCACCTACTTTCGTTCCCATCTACCTGGTTACTTAGCGGCCAGCGTCCTGCGCACGCTCCTCATCGCATCGCCCGCCTTGATCACTCTCGCTCTCTTCCAGTTCAACATCAAGGCACCCGCAGGCCCCACGGCCATAGCCGCCATCATATTTCTCATTTCGCTTATAGGCATGGGTGGGCTCGTGACATATGCTTGCTACTTTCGACTCCGTTTTGGCAAATATGAGACCGGTCCTGACACTATTGTTTTCGAGAAGGGAACGCTTTTCAACGTTGTGCCGTTCATCGCAGCCACACGCGCGAGCAATCTTGAAGAAAAGGAATCGAGTGTGAAGCGGTACGGATCGATGCCTTTCTTCCGCGTGCGCTTCATCGACGATGATCCCAACAGGACAACCGTTCACAAGGATGAAGCCTACATCAAGCGATTTGGCTGGCTGGCTGCTCATTATAGACGGAGTAGGTGGTGGTTCTTTGCCATTTGGTTCAGCTACCAGTTTATCCGAGCCTGCTTCCTCGGTGGGGGCGTTCGCAGCCCCCTGGCCCAGGTCTACGGACTGTTCATCTTCGAAATCATCTCGTTCGCCCTCTTCATCAAGCTCAGTCCACATGAAGGCCGTCGAAATTCCACTGTGGCCATTTGGCTGCTGGGAGTTTCCAAGATTATCACAGCTGGCTTCTCGATCGCCTTTCTCCCAGAGTTCGGCATCGGCCGTATCCTATCCACCATCCTTGGCATCTTCATCATCGTTGTCCAAGCCTTCCTGGTGCTAGCCGTTCTGGCACTGGTGATACTTGGTGCTTTTTCCTCCTGGATGTCCCTTCACCGCAATCGCGAGACCTTCAAACCAGAGAAGCTGGACGGCATCCGCATCCAGTACTACGAACATATGCAGAACACGGCCCCTGATATGCCACCTCCACCAAAAGAAGACGCCAGCAATACCGAGGCAGTGGCGCAGACCTTCCAGGTCAACGACGTGCGACGAACGCGCAAGATCGAAGACGAAGATGATGAACTCACCGACCTTGAGGGGCCAAGTAATAGCTCTGCCATTCAACTAGGTCCAATCAACCGATCCAGCAGGGCCAATAGCGTCAGCTCCCGCTATTCAGTAGGCAGCCTGCCTCGGCGAGCGAGGCCGCACCGCACGTCTTGGAGTGCCAAAGATTTCGCCGAGTGGGACGCCCAGTCCGATCGCGCACTTGCACGTCCAGAGTCGCTGGTAGGCGGCAGCACCAGACCTCTTCAGGCGCACAATCGACAGCGGAGCAGCTCTCTGAGGCAGATTGCCCATCTCAATTCACAGGCGTCATTGAAAATGCCAGAAGACATTCCAGAATTGCCCAGGACATCCTGCGAGGCTCGAAGGCCCATGACGCCGACGCGTGAGGTGTCCGAAGACAAACTGGAGACCCTGGAGACGCTTCACTCCGAGAAGGGGAAGGATAAGGTCGCTGATGACGACTCTGATTCCGCGGATGGAAGAATGAAGACAATTCCATTTCCGCCTCTCCCTGAGCACGACGAGGACAAGCTCTGAATCACTCTCAGTACCGTCTTCTGGATATATGCTGGGGGGGCACTCGGATGCTGCTAAAGATCTGCGGGCGCCCAAGTAGAGTCGTACGACACCATCTATGCCGTGCTCTCTGCGTCTTTTCTTTTCTCCTACACGCGCGAAAAGCAGCACTCGAGGCTGGCCTTGAATGACAGCTTTCCTTGTGGCCACCACGGGTCAACTCTTCTGTGGTAATGGTGGTCACAATATTTACGACACAACATGAAATCATGGATCATGAGGCGTTTTAAGGTTTTGAAGAGTTGTCAATTTCTGAGCTCTTTGCATCGTCAGCACGAGCGGCTGGCTCTATCAGTCTTGTCTCATGGCCGCCGATGGACGGGCACACATGCGAGAAAGGCCCAGTCGTCTTCCAGGCCCTCTTGTCTTTTTCTTTTTCCAGCATTTCCAATTGTACTCCATCGTACTTGATGTATGATTGTCTGGCGTTTCTCGATAGATCATCAAATACGCTTTAATTACATTCCATATCACAAGCTTGCCCATGGCAATCAAGCATGAGTCCTCTTGCATTGGCGATTGGAAACCTGTCATGAATTTGGGTTGTGCATGTAAACGATCCCTTTTGGTATCCAGACATCCTCTGGTTGTGTCATTGTTTTCAACTTTGCTTCTGTGTATTTTCTCTTCCATAACCAGGATGAACGTGCTCAGATGTAACCCTTGAGCACAGCGGCCTCGGCGTTGAGGATGCTGGAGCCGGCCGCGCCAATGACGGTGTTGTGGCTCAGGGCAACAAACTTGACGTCAAAGATGCCGCTCTCGTCCTCGCGTACGCGGCCGACGCTGACGGTGTAGCCCTTGCCGAGCTCGCGGTCGAGGCGGGGCTGCGGCCTGTCGGGGGCGTCAAAGACCTCGATGGCGGGCTGCGGGGCGCTGGGGCAGCCGAGGGTCTGGGCCTCGCTGACGTAGGAGCGCAGGGGGTCCTTGACCTCGTCGGCGGAGGGAGGGCGGGGCGGCGGGGCGAAGCGCAGGGAGACGCAGGCCGGTGTGGCCCGTCGAAGGACGGTGACTGGATAAGAGACGCTTTGACGCGGAGGGCCGACTGCTCGTGGACGGCGGTGCGTCGGTGGCGAGGGTGCCGAGGATCTTCTGGGCCTCCGTCTCGAGCTTGTCCTCCTCACCGGGGATGTAGGGGACGACGTTGTCGAGAATGTCGAGCGAGGACACGCCCGGGTAGCCGGCGCCGGAGACGGCTTGGAGGGTCACGACGGAGACCTGGTCGACGGGGCCGAAGCGGGCCTGCAGGGCGGCGAAGGGGATGACCAGGCCGATGACGGCACAGTTGGAGTTGCAGACGAGGAAGCCCTTTTCGAGGCCGTGGTGTTTGCGCTGGTGGGGGATGAGGTCAAGGTGGGCGAGGTTGACGGTCGGCACGACGAGGGGTACGATGGGATCGCGGCGGTGGTTCTTGGCGTTGGAGAAGACGGGAATGTTGGCCTTGAGGAACTCGGTCTCTGGAAAGGGGGTGTGGTCGTCAGCACAGCGTGTCTTTGCGTAGGTACGTTAGAAGGGAAGGGCAGAGGCAAGGGACGCACCAATGTCGCCAGCGACATCCGAGTCGAGACCGCTGAAGACGACGTCGCAGTCGGCAAACTCAGAGGCCTTGCACTCGCGCACGACGAGGTCGCCAACGGCGCCCATGGGGGTGGCCTGCTTCCATTTCGCGGCGTCGCGGTACTTCTTGCCGGCGGAGCGCGAAGAGGCGCCAACAGCGACGAGCTGGAGGTGGGACAGCTGGCTGAGCAGCAGAATGAAACGCTGTCCGACGGAGCCTGTACATCCAAGGACGCCTGGGGAAAAAGGATACAGGTCAGCCGTTGTTCGTCACGCTATCAGTCACGAGCAACTTCCTTGTACGAGGAACACGGCAGAGGCGATGGTTTGTTTGACATACCGCACTTCTTCGTTGGGAACTCGGCCATGATGTACCTTGATCTCTCGACGCTGTGTGAGGGGGGATTCTGGTCGTTGTTCGTCAATGGCAAACAATCACCGAAATATGGCTCGAGGGGGATTTCGTCCTGAGTCGACGAGTAGTGTGAGTCAAGTACCACGAGGCAAGTACCAACACCACACCCAATGGCCCGAACCAGCGACACCATTTCAGCGTCCGGGATCGGCCACCCCGCCAATGCCCCTCCATGCCCCTCTGTGCCCCTCTGTGCCCCTCTGTGCCCCGCCATCGGAGTCGCCTCAGGGCCCTTGCCTTGGGAACTACGAACGTATACATTTCAGTTGTGATAGGCCAATTGATGCAGACCACGACATGTCACACAAAGAAGCCGGCAAGTCTCAACAGCGAAATGCATTTCCTTACACAGAGCACCGTAACAGGCACAGTAGGTATCACAGCTAGTTGAAAACGTCAATTGGACGACCAAATGAGCAAACAAGACCGCCATCGCTTCCGACACACTACATTACACCTTCTCTACCTTCTCCTCCGAGCCCGACTCCTCGCTCCTCGCGCCGTTGAGCTTCTTTGCCACATCAGAAGTCAGGTACTTCTCCATGTTGGGCACTAGGACGGAGCTGACGAGCAGAATGAACGAGAACGGAATCGTCGTGTAAAAGACCATCTTAAAGCTCTCCGTGTACGCCACCCTTGTCGCTGCGCCGACGGCCGCGATGACCTCGTTCGTGATGCCTGGCACAGCCGAGAAGTCGCCAGCCGCAATGGCCGCGAACAGCGCCGTCAGCGACGTCTCTGGGAGACCCGCTTGCGTAGCCGCCGGCACGACGAGCTCGGGAAGCTTCTTGCCGAGTTCGTTGTTGAGAACCGAGCCGTAGAGGGCCTGTGCGATGGCGCCGCCGAGGCCGCGGATCGAGCCCAGGATGCCGGTTGCGAGACCGATATCTTGGGCCTCCCAGACGAGAGTGACGCCGGGGAAAGAGATGTTCTCGATGAATCCAATCGCTGAGAGGGCAGGTCAGGTTAGCCTGGGACTGGGCCGGGCTCGGGCAGGAGGGCACGAAGCGGCTTACCAACGCAGACGATTGTGCCTGTGGCAATAGTCACGGCCCATCTATCGGGAGAGATGGCAACCATGGAAGTCATGAAAGCCAACGAGATACTTGCCGCGATGATGCACTGGTACTTGACCTTGGGCACGTAGGAGATGCAGAACCCGGCGATTGTCTGGCCGAGAAGCACGCCGCCCCCCACGACAGAGCTCTGCCAGCCAATCTTCATCGAGTCGGTCGTGTACATGGTGCCAATGATGACGGGCCACAGCACAGTGAGCGAGTAGTAGACCATGGATCCGATGGTGGCGACAACGACGATGGCGTCGAATCCAATATTCTTGAACATGCGCGG